TTGAACTTGTAATTGCAAAAAAAAAAAAAAAACAAGAAAGAAAAAGAAGAAAGAAAGAACAAGAAACTCCTTTATAAAAATATTTCTAGTGGTGGCCCAGCAGGTGGCATGGTGGTTAAGGTACTGGACTCCCATGTGGTTGACCACAATTTGAATCCCAGATCTGATGGCTTGCTTCCTCACTTTCTTTCTCTCCCTTTCTCTCTCTGTCTGTCTCTGCTGAGCACACATGCCCTATACCAAATTAAATAATAATGATTAAAAAATTAATCTTTAAGAAATATTTCTAGTGGTTGTATTTCTAACATGTCACAAATTCAAAATACAACATGAAGTACGATTTGTTTCAGTATGTATAAAGTAGATACCAATATTGGAGAGAAATAAGTTTTTATAAACCTGTGTTCTCTCAAATTACATTCATAAAAGAGAATTTCATGTGGTTTTTTGGTGTCTGTATTTTTTGCTTTTCCAAATCTTTGACAATAACACCTTTCTTTGCTGTTTGCCTAATGAACTTGTCACAAAATGTTATATAGACACAGGATTTTATGCTCTCACAGCAAAAGCAAATGGTACTGTGGCTAGACAATTTCTAATGTTCTAACTATGCATAGATCTTATGCACCTAGGAAGTGCATAAAATTTATAAAGACATTTCACATTCAATTTTCACATTCCTTCCATTCTTAAATGCATAGAACAGTGGACTAGGAACTGCATATAGGGACTCAAATGGAGTGAAAGAAGACCCAGTGGATGCCAGACTGTCCCTGGGCTCGGGGACTTCCTGGATAGAAGAGGTTCTGATCATCAGGCCTCCAACTAGGATGTGTGGAGGACTGGAGGAGAGCTGTAGAACTGTGGAGGAGACTGGAGGGGTCAGTGCCTTCTGTAGAGCAACTGAGATACTATTTCATGAGAGTGTTGGTTGGTACGTGAGCTGAGTCTTAAAGAGTTTCATCAGTTCATAAATTTCAAAACAGTTCTAAGAACAGGAAACACAGCATGCTGGCCAGAGCAATTTTTTTGTTTTTGTTTTTGTTTTTTTTGAGAGATTTTTGCTATAGGACGCATGTGCTCGCCAGACAGAGAGAGACAGAGAGACAGAAAGTGAGAAATCACCCCCCAGGGGGGGATGGTCACGCCGCAATCCCTTCTCCTCCATTCTCCTCTCGGGATCTTGGGCACACACGCACAGGTGTCTGGCGTGAGTTTTAAGCTACCGGGTCGAGGACACGAACCACGGTCAACTACGTGGGAGTCCAGCAACACAGCCATAACGCTAACTGCTGGTTCCCTGCCAGAGCAATTCTTGAAGTTCAACCTTCTTTCCTGCACTTCTCCTTTGCCAGCCCTCTAACTTCTCCTCTTTTCCACCCAGGTCCTCAAATTCAAATTCCAGTATCACCTCTTTTCTCCTAAGACCCAGGGCCTGTCATATGCATGGCCTTTGGTGTTGAATACCAAATATTTATTTAAGAAGATCAATTCCTGGAAACAGCAGATGGCATCATGGTTACATCACTGGACTCCCGCATGGCTGACCTCAGTTCAAGTCCCAGACTTGGTGGCTCGAAACTCACACTGGGCATGTGTGCATGCATGCCAAGAGATCAGGAGGAGAGTGGAGGAGAAGGGATTTCAGTGTGGCCATCCTCTACCCCAGGGAGTGATTTCTCACTTTCCCTCTCACTGTCTCTGCCTCTCTCTCTCTTGTGAGCATACATGTGCCATGACAAAAACCTCTTAAAAAAAAGAGAGAGAGAGCATTGTTTCCTAGGAGTATGTCTCAGAATCAAGTGTGTTTGTGAAGAGTGTAACGCCACATCACACGTGCTTGTGTTCTAGAATCCTGTTCCTTTCCCATGGTTATTTCATAACCAGGGCCCTGTGCTGTTTATATGGCTTCCAAAAATTTGAACTCCCTGGGCCTTGAGTGCTAACCTAAAGGATGCGGACTTTATTCAATGGGCTTTCTGGAATCAGAGAAAATTAAAACAGGATTGCCCCCAAGTCATACTTGCTTTATGTAAGTGATGAGGACTGAGGGCTAAAATGCAGAGAGTGTGAAGTAAGACCACCTAAGAAGATCATTGCACCAGAGCGAGTAACAAAAAGTAACAGGTGATGAAGGCCTGACCAAGAGACTGGAGGAAAAAGAAAGGGAGAAATATGAGAGGGAGTCCATGAATCCGAGAGGGGAGACTTAATGAGTTACTGGATGTGGATTATTTAACTAAGAATGGGCAAGTCCAGACTAAATATCTTCTCAGCAATTTGCAAATGTGATCTTAGACATACTCTTTACACTTTCATCTTCACTTTCCTCAGAATAGAGAACAAAAACCACCTCATAGGATTATTGAGAGGCTCAAAAATATAGATAAATAGATATAGATAGATGCATTTTAAAGTTACAAAGCAACATTTAAACATAGATGATGTTGATAATAAAGATGATGATGATAAAAGATGCTGACAATGGTGACATCTAACAATTAGCAAGCATTTACTGTGGACCAAGTACTCTGCTAAACACATCATCTTATTTAAGCCTTTCAGTAGTCCTTTATGATATTGATACTTGTTACTATCACTCCTATTTTACAGATGGAAAAACCAAGGCTGAAAGAGGTTAAGTAACTAGCCTTTGATCAAACAGCTAGGCAAAAGCTGATACTAACCCAACTATTCAGTTCCTACTTAGAAGCACTTGTTTTTCCTGAATTCATCACTCCTTTATATCTGAAAAGCTTGAGGGTGGTAATTTTTTCAAGAACTTTAGTAAAATCCTGAATAGGATTTCAAATGTATAATTCCGTTGAGTGCTTAGGCAGACCCTAGTTGCTAATTTGGTTATTTA